CAATGAAGCTGCATATATCATAATGCGTTATGTTTTCCCATTCTTCTTTAAGGACCAAGCGAAGGTAATTTAATGAAGCTGGTACTGCTTCGCGACCTCTAACCCTCCTGCCAAGCATTTCCCAAACGTCGAACATGATGGGCAGTTCATAGTAGTACAAAATAATCACCAAAGTCGCTTTGTCATATTGAAAAATAACTTCAAAAAGAAATGATAATTGAAAAAATTGCAAATTGTTGGTGACAAGTTTATCTCGCTCTTAAAAATTAACCAAGGCATGTATTGACATGATCAAAAAAACAAAATGCTATAGTTCTGATTTTGTATTTAGGTCATTTATGACCCAAATAACTCATTTTGAGTGAATTTAAAAAAACAACCTAACCTAACCTATGGTATGGTCGGCTAAAAATATAGCATAAAATAACATTCTATTCAAATTCTCTGTCTTTCTCTAACACATGAATTCTTATATCAACATGTCTAGAGATTGACCTCGCCAAAATTATCATTGATTGTCATTCTCCAGCCGTCTTAGACACCGTTTTTTTTATCAAACGGTAGTATTTGTCTATGGTTTTAATTTATTAATTAAAAAAATAATTAAAAATTTTATATTAAAAATTAAATTATATTATTTATATGCAAATTTATCTAGGTAATGAATGTTTGTGCAGTGTCCATTTTTATGAATTAAGGAGCAAGTTGTTTGTTCTTCGTTGCGAACTTTTCTACTGAAACGACCATGTTTGCTTAATATCAGGTTCTCTAATAATGCAAGTCTTTTTATAGAACATAATCAATAAAAATATGCGTCGGTGCATGTCAACTCAATAATGTGTCATTTTGATGCACCTTTTTTTCCTGGATAATCTGTTTGTCTTACGTACAAGCACTAGAATAGAAAATGGTTCTTTGCTATTTTTTTATGGATTAGAGTATAGAGATATACAAGATGTACAAGTCAATGTTTTATTATTTTATGATTTTATGGACTCCAAACTTTTAATAAAAATATTAAGGAGAAAGTACCGTATGATCGGAAAAAAACGGAGTCCAGCTCGCTGGGAAATGACGATCGATGACATTTCCCATATAAATTTATTGGAAATTCCCAGGGATAACTTGGGAAAACAGTGAGCTCAACTACAAAGAGAGTATCTAAATATGTGAGGGAGGCTACACCATAATTGGAATGTGTGTTGTCTGACTACCACAAACCATTCGAGGTGAACAAAATGGATCGATGAATGTGGACAGATATAACATACCTTTAGGATGGACTAACCTGGTACACAAATGGATCAAAAACGGCTGAAAGAACAGGAGCCGGAGTATTTAGGAAAAGACCAAGGGTAAGCTTATCCTTTTCCTTGGGTAAATACTCAACCGTATTCCAGGCAGAAATCTTCGAAATTCTACAATGTGCGAGAGAAAATAATAGAAGAGCTTATTCAGGTTAGCTCATCAATATATGCTCAGTCATGCGGTACTTCAGGCGCTTATGAGTCCAAAGGTATCGTCGAGACTCGTTTGGGAATGCCTAGGTGACCTGGGAGCTCTGGCACAAAGGAACAGAATTAAATTATTCTGGGTACCAGGCTACAGCGGCATCCAAGGTAACGAAAAAGCCGATGAGCTAGCTAGGCAAGGATCATCGGCCTCCTATCTTGGTCCAGAGCCAGTGGTGGTAATACCCAAATGTATGGCCCGTACTGCACTAAAACTCTGGATCAGGGAAAAGCAGAATGTCCACTACAGAAACAGACAGGGGTACAGGCACAGCAAGGCCTATAAAACCGCAAAAAAACTGCTAATGCTTAGCAGGAATAAAGTCCGGATTACAACAGGCCTGTTGACAGGGCATATGGCTGTCAAGTGTTACCTGAACAAGCTTAACCGGTATCAAGGAAGTCTTTGCTGCAGACTCTGCTATAAAGATCCTAAAACAGCCGAGCACATAATATGTCACTGCGAGGCTTTGGATCGCAAGCGACACTTCTTATTTGGGAAAGCTAGGCTAGAACTGGAGGACATATGCTCCATACTCTCAAGGACCTGCATAAGTTAGTGCACGGCACAGGGATAGGAGAATGGGTGCAGATATAGAAAGGGGACAGACGCAATAGGACTCACAGGTCGCAGTGTTTCCGGCAGAGGACGGCCCCTTGTTATTGAGAAGAAAAACTATTTGAAAATGGTTGAATAAGCTGAGAATGATGATGAATGTGAAAACCGCATCTTTGTATCTCTACTCATAAGTAGGCCAATCAAACTAATATATTTTGAGGAATAAATTTCTAGCAAACTGGAAATCATTTTAATATCTTTATTCGGTCCTAAATGCGTGTAATCTAAGTTTGCACCATCCCAGGAGGTGAGCTTAGTTTTTGATAGGCAAAAAACCGTCAAATTTTTGCATTTTTTTTGAGTTTTTTGCTTGTAGCTGGAAATCGAAGCGTCGCGTCGCGTCGGTAGGAAAATGTCATTCCATTCAATAATATAGAGAACTAAATTCTGCGTCGAATTACACATAAAACATCAAACTTGGTTCAGTGGTATAGCCGAAATCCAATGTTAAAAACGAAGAAAATTTCGTATTTTGGTGCAAACTTACATTTTGCGGCAAAGTGTTGAGGATGCTGACACCCTTATCCTCAACACTGCCATTGAATTGGCAGGTAACTTTTCGACGGTCATCATAATCGGGGAGGACACCGATTTATTGATCCTATTAACCGTCAAAGCACCAAATTAATCTAACATTTACGCCATGAAACCTGGAAAGGGAACCTCTCAGAATACCGTTCTACTCTCCCAAGTACTTCAACTTCTCGTCTGTTGTCAAAGAAAATATCCTGTTCCTACATGCAATCAGTGGATGCGATACAACCTCTGCATTCTATCGCCAAGGGAAGTTGAAGTTTGTAAAGCTTCTTGAAAAGAACACGACATTTCAAGAGAGTGTTAGGGTTTTTTTTTCATCATGAAGATGCAGATCCTGAGGTTCTCATTTCAGCAGGTCAACTGTTTTTGGCTGCCCTCTATTCACCTAAAGCAGATGTGACCTCCTTAGACCAAATCCGCTACGAGATATTTTCAAAATCCCTAACAAAGCCAACTTTTGAACTGGCCTCTCTACCTCCAACAAATGCAGCCGCCGCTCAACATATTCTGCGAGTGTACCTTTAAATCTAGGGCTGGTATGATAAACCAAAGGATCCTCTGAACTGGGGTTGGAGAAGGACCTTGGCCTTCTCCCCATCATAAACACCAAGGATCCAGCTCCAGCTGAAATTCTCAATACTGTGTCCTGCAAATGTTCAAAGGAGTGTACAGGGAAGTGCAGCCGCCGAAAAGTAGGCATGAAATGTTCAACAATATGCCTCAACTGCAACGGTCAGTCATGCTCGAATTCAGCACCCTTTGAGGATGAGAATGAGACCTACATTGCCGTAGAAGCAGAAATAGGTGAGGATGGTCCGTTTGAAAATGATCCCGATGAAGAGGACCTCGATATGCAACCGCGCCTTCCAAGCTTCTCAGATGAAGGGCCATCAACATCTAAGAAAATGCGAACATGAATACCGTCACATTTTGTGCTATTGATTTATACCATGATTACATTTATATTTTATCAATAAACTTTAAGTGTTTTTGTTACTTTATTGCACTTTTTCAGAAACTATTAGAGACAGAGTTTACCAAAAATGCTTTTTATAACTACTAGTGGGTAAATGAATTTCTAGATATATTACGAATTTTTTTGGAACTTTAGTTTCGGAGATATTCATTTAATCGGACATTTTAAAAAAAATTAATTTTATTTTTCAGAAACTATTAGAGACAGAGTTTACCAAACTACTAGTGGGTAAATGAATTTCTAGATATATTACGAATTTTTTTGAAACTTTAGTTTCGGAGATATTCATTTAATCGGACATTTTTAAAAAAAATAATTTTATTTTTCAGAAACTATTAGAGACAGAGTTTACCAAAAATGCTTTTTATAACTACTAGTGGGTAAATGAATTTCTAGATATAATATTACGAATTTTTTTGGAACTTTAGTTTCGGAGATATAAATTTAATCGGGCCTTTTTAAATGCACTATTAACTATGATTAATTTACTTACTTAATTAATATTAATAATACTTATTAAAGATTCAACGGAAATACAGAACTCTGATAAATAATGATTTTTATTTCTACTACTCGAATCTCTACTCAGGTTGTGTATATTACTTTAACATTGCAAAGCAATATGAAGTGCTGTTTTGGTACAAAATTTTGATATTTCTTTACCTTACATAACTTCAAATGACTCAAAACTCTCTTGTTTTTAACACTGGATTTCGGCTATAACACTAAACCAAATTTGATTTTTTATATGTCATTCGAGGCAGAATTTAGTCCTCTGTATTATTGAATAAAATGATATTCTCCGGCCGACGTACCGTTTTCCAGCTACAAGCAAAAAACTAAAAAAGGTGCAAAAATTTGGCGTTTTTTGGACTACTAAAAGTTAAACTCACCACCTGGGATGGTGCAAACTCAGATTACACGCATTTAGGACCTAATAGAAGTATTATTAAAACGATTTCCAGCTTGCTGGAAATTAATTCAGCAAAACTGCTTTTTTCCATTTAATTTTATTGGCCTAAAGCAAGAACCCCGATAAATAACATGAAAATGGGACACCCTGTACAGTCACCTTATTAAAACTAATAATTAAATCAACGAATTCCACGACTATTTTGGTACCCATTGGTAACCCATCGTAACTTTTTCGCTGACATGATACATTGCGGGAACATCCAATCGAAAATAGATGTCTATACGCAATTGGAATGTCAATAAAGGTCTACACCTCCGGTCATGTTATTGTTTTGCTCACTTCATTTTTCCGTTTACCTTTGGTGTCTACTGCTCTTGCTTCTGCTTCTGTGTAGCTTCCCACCAGTAGCGAGTGATAGCTGGCGTTCGATTCGATACCTAGGCATCGGCATCGCCTGAGTGCATTTCAGTTTAATCGGTTCAAGTGATTTTAATTAAGAATCTTTTGTTTTTATTGGGTTTTGATTCTTTGAAGTGACGTAAGTTGTTTTGTTTACATATTTAACTTGAGGTAAATAACATAAGTTTTCTAAACCTTTTTATATATTTTTGTTACTTAAATTGATCCAGTGTTGAAAATTGTTGGCAGTATCCGATATTTTGGCCTATATTTCCCGCCCCCATATTTTTTTTCAATGAAAAAAACGATATTTTGTATGTTAGTATATGACTTAAATTAGGATTGATTGACGTATTCAATTGTTTTCGGTCACTTCCTGTTTCACCGGAAACGACTAGAACTTTTATTTTTTAAATAGCACCCTCGGTATTTTTTTACTTTATTCGATAGAAAATAACACTTTAAATATAATGATATACCGGGTGCGTCGCAAAAGTGGCTCAACCCTATAACTTTTTTGTTTTTTCAGATGAAAAAATGAGATTTGGTATGTTAGTATATGACATAAATTAGGATTGATTGACATATACAATTGTTTTCGGTCACTTCCTGTTTCACCGGAAATCACTACAACTTTTGATTTTGAAATAGCACCCTCGATATTTTTTTACTTTATTCGATAGAAAATATCACTCTGAATCGAATGACATATCATATGAAAATTTTTGACATATTCGCTTAAAAACAAATTTTACTTTAAATTTCAATCTAGAATGCCATGGCTATATTAAAAACACTAATTTTTAATCAAGGACTCTTGGAAAAATAAATTTGATCGTTTAAGGTTTTTAGTGTTTTGTCCTGGCCGGTTAAAAGATGGCCAAGTCGTATTTTTAATCATATCTCAATTTTTTCAAATGGAACGTTTTTTAGCGAACCATTAGCATATTTGGAAAAAACATTTTTTACGAATAATTTGATACCACACACTTGGTATTTCGAGTTAAATTAACATTATGAACCGCATGTTATAATTTCAAATAAACCATATGCGCGAAAATGTCAAAAGTTGACATATGATATGTCATTCTATTCAGAGTATCATTTTCTATCGAATAAAGTAAACAAATTTCGCGGGTGCCATTTAAAAATCAAAAGTTGTAGTCATTTCCGGTGAAACAGGAAGTGGCCGAAAACAATTGTATATGTCCAATCAATCCTAATTTATGTCATATACTAACATACCAAATCTCGTTGTTTTTCATTATTGAAAAAATAAAAAAGTTATAGGGGTGAGCTACTTTTGAGACGCACCCGGTATATTATATTATGTCAACTTTGGACATTTTTGCTTTAAAAAATGGTATTTTAAATTTTTATCTAGAGTGCCATGGATGTGTAAAAAATACTAATTTTTAATCAAGGAACCTTGATAAAATTGCCAAAATTGCCGGTTAAAAATTACCTAAATTACATTTTTAATCACATCTCAGTTTTTTTCAAATGAAACGAGAGGGGTGGCTCATTAGCATATTTGGGAAAGGCATTTTTTACGAATTATTTCTTTTGAATACATAATAAATACTTTTTACAAATGCCATTATGCATAACGATAATTTGACTCGAAATACCGTATGATCGAGAAAAAATGGCGTCAGCGATGGCTATGGAATGAAGATCGCTGTCATTTTATATGTAAATTTATATGGGAAATGTCATTGATGTTCATTTCCCAGCCAACTGGACGTCGTTTTTTTTCGATCATACGGTACTAAGTGTGTGGTACCAAATTATTCGTAAAAAAAGTGTTTCGAAATATGCTATTGAGCCACCCTCGTTCCATTTAAAAATATTGAGATATGATTAAAAATACGATTGGGGCATCTTTTAACCGGCCAGAACAAGACACTAAAAATATTAGACGATCAAATCTATTTTTCCAAGGCTCCTTGAACTCTAATTGATTCAAATTTAAAATGTTTTTTCAATTAAAAAAAAATTAAGGCAAACAAATTTCAATTCGTTTTTGAGCGAAAATGTCAAAAGTTGACATATGCAGAGTGTCATTTTTTATCGAATAAAGTAAAAAAATACCGAGGGTGCCATTTAACAATCAAAGGTTGTAGTCATTTCCGGTGAAATAGGAAGTGAGCGAAAACAATTGAATACGTCAATCAATCCTTATTTATGTCATATATTAACGTGCTAAATCTCGTTTTTTATATGAAAATATAAAAAAGTTGTAGGGGGTGAGCAATTTTTGAGAAACACCCGGTATAAACTAAGTGGTTTTTGAGACAAGCCTATTTCTTAATTATACCCAAGAACTGTAAACTAATAGGATTGCTCATCCTCATAAGACGTACGTTCGCCTCTTCCCGCGCTTCAGCTGACAGTTGTGACGTCATTGTAGTCCTTGTCATGATAGTGGGTATTATTAGTTGCCTATGGTAAACTTATAAAAATAACAGCTGAAAAATGTTGAGTTAACTATTTTGTCAATTTTAAGTGTGAAAAAGGTGTCTTTGAAGTTTTTAGAGCTATAGAGTGTATAAATACGTTCATTTTGTGTTGTGGATTGTGACAAAGTGCTTACTAAGTGCCTACGATATTGTTTATTATTTTAAAGCAAAATATGGAAGTACTCTAAAAAGAATGCTTGCAAAAGGTGATGCTGGGAACTGCTGTTCTTAAAAATGCATTATCCGAGTATCTAATACGATTTATACAGTTAATTTTCTATACTGCATACATATAAGGTGTTTAAATAAATAAACTAAATAATGAACGAAGCGAGCTGGCAACCAATAATGCACGTGTGTGTATTATTGGTTGCCGGATAAGGACTAATAACCATGACAAGGACTACAATGACGTCACATAGCGAGTAGTTTTCGCATGCACCTGGCGGACACTTTTGGCTGAATGAGCAGTACTATTAGGTTAACTGTTCTTGAATTATACGCATCACTTTTGAATATAATATACTTGTCAAATGACAATGACAAATGATCATATTTGTCCTGTCAAATGTCAAAAAAATTGTGGAATTTTTCAGTAAAGAACGTCGCAAAATTTAAACTTTAACATTAATGGTAAGTTTTTAATATATTTAAAGGGCAATAATAGTTAATAACTATAATAATACATGTATGTGTATAATTATGTTTTGAATATATTTTACATGAAATTAAAATATGACTACTAAATAATATATTTACTATTTTTATTTCAAGTCGAACAAGATCTGGTTTTGATTAACTTTCTTACTTGAAATTCTGCATAAAAAATAATCGCTTGCACTTTTTTTACAGCAAAACAACATACATATAAAAATATTTATACAGGGCTGTTCACCACATACGACACGGAGTATTGTAGCTAAACGATTAGATTTTTACAAATTGTATGTTTTGGGTTCGTTGAGGGACTATTAGAGCTACAATTTAAAAATAATTTTATAAGATACAGAGTGTCCCAAATAAGTAAAAAATATTACAGCGTATGTCCCCAGATTATCTTTACCAGAGGAAAACTTTTTTTTATTACTGACATTTTGAGAAAAATGCATTCTCCATAAAAATTTTGCTTGTTCTAAAATAGTTAATCCTGCTTATAATTTTCCAAATTTCCATACCGTTTTAGAGAAGATCAAAAAAAAACGAGAAAACATTAAGTCCTTAAAATCAAAAGGCGTTTCTATGGTAATATAATTTCGATTTTATTCTTTGATAGACGGTTATTATTAATTTTGATTAACGTTATATTTTTTGCTGATGTTGTCAAAGTATTACATTTTCCGAAAATTATTATCAGCCTTTCCGTAACATTGAAGAAAATAAATTTGATGCTTCTTTAACACTTTAAAAGAACAAAAAATATAACGTTAATTAAAATTTTATTAATAGCAATCTCTCAAAGAATGAAAACAAAACTATATTACTATAGAAATGCGTTTTGTTTGGCAATTTTTTTAGAAATTTACAAAACTTGTCTAGTTTTAATTGACGGAATGTCTCTTGTAAAGACAATCCGGGGACATACTGTATAGAAAAAAATCTTGGATAATTTTATTTTTTTACTTTATGCCATTGAGAAACATAAACTAAGATCTAGGGGATGTAACATACCAAATTTTAAATCATTGCCAATAAAGACCCGTATTAAATATTCTATAATAGCGTGGGGATATCAAATAAGGGTTTAAGTAAAAAAAATAAATTATTTTATAAAATTATTAACTATATCTATATACCGGGTGCGTCTCAAAAGTGGCTCACCCCTATAACTTTTTTATTTTTTCAGATAAAAAAACTAGACTTGGTATGGTAGTATATGACCTAAATTAGGATTGATTGACGGCATTCAACTGTTTTTGGTCACTTTCTATTTTACCGGAAGTGAATACAACTTTTGATTTTTAAATGACACCCTCGGTATTTTTTTACTTTATTCGATAGAAAACAGCATTCTGAATATCATATATCAACACTTGACATTCTGGCTTTAATAAAAAATTGTAATTTAAATTTAAATCTAGAGTGCCATGGCTATGTTAAAAACACTCACTTTTAAGGGGCCTTTGAAAAATAGATTTGATCGTCTAATGTTTTTAGTGTCTTGTTCTGGCCGGTTAAAAGATGCCCAAATCGTATTTTTAATCATATCTAAATTTTTTCAAATGGAAAAAGGGTGGCTCATTAGCACATTTGGAAAAAGCATTTTTTTACGAATAATTTGATACCACACACTTGGTATTTCGAGTCAAATTTTTGGTATGAACCGCATGTTATAATTTCAAATAAACCATACAAGAAAATGTCAAAAGTTGATATATGATATGTCATTCTCTTCGGAGTGAAATTTTCTATCGAATAAAGTAAAAAAATACCGAGGGTGCCATTTAAAAATCAAAAGTTGTAATTTCCGGTGAAACAGGAAGTGACCAAAAACAACTGAATACGCCCAATCAATCCTAATTTATCTTATATACTAACATAACAAATATCGTTTTTCTATCTGAAAAAATTAAAAAAGTTATAGGAGTGAGTCACTTTTCATACTCACCCGGTATAGTTAAAAATAACTTACATTAAAATACTTAACTCGTTAAAAGGAAGCAAATATTTTTGACATCTT